GTAAGAGCTGCTGCAGAACTTCGGACAAAAATACGCGGCCCCTGTCACTGAGGAGCTCCCGTGGTGCACCATGACGAAGAACAAACCGATGCAAGATGAAGGTTGCAACGTCACGAGCACCAGCCGAAGGTAGCGCTGCCATTTCGGCGTACCTTGTCAGATGGTCGGCAGCCACAATCACCCATCGATTACCACCAACAGAGCACGGTAGCGGGCCGTATAAGTCGATCACAACACGGTCACATGGGTGTGCAGGACATGGTAAAGGCTGCAGTTGACCGGGTGAATCAGGAAATGTCTTGCGCTGCTGTCACAGGGAACATGAGCGAATGTGTTTGCGTACAAACGTGTACATACCCCGCCAGTAGTAACGTTGGCGGATCCGTTCATACGTCTTTAGTGCACCGGCGTGTGCGTGTTGCGGCTCAGCATGAAAATATTCGAAGATATCAGACCGCATATGGTTGGGTATGGGTATGACAAGCAGCCATTTACGACCCACCACTTGATAGTTTCGACGGTATAACAGGTCATCCCGTATGGCGAAATGCGTTGCTTGGCGGCGAAGAGCACGTGGGTAACCGGAAGTTGATGCGTCAGAAAGCATATTCAAGAGCGAGACAATCCAAGGGTCTTTCCGTTCGAATGACATATCTGTGACGCTCGTGGCAGAGAGGGGAAGGTCAAGGGCTGATATTTCCGTATCATTCAAATTTCACGGGTGATCGTGAAAGCGCATTTGCGTCAGAGTGCTTTCGCCCCGATTGGTAGACGACGCGTATCCGAGGCGACCAGAAGGATCTTTCAGTGAAGCCAACCAACAGAGTGCATGATGGTCAGTTACCACATCAAAAGTTTGGCCGTACAAATAGGGGCGAAACTTGTTCAGCGCCCACACAATCGCCAGGCACTCTTTTTCTGTAACACCGTGAAATATATTTGCAGATTTCAGCATGCTGTTCATGTTGAGTAGGATTTGTTTTTGAATTGCATGTAAAAGTAACAAAGACCAATATGTCACGTAGCGTAGTGCTGAAGAGCCTTGAAGCTGGCTACATGACTACATATTTTGCTGTATGCAGTCACATAGTCTGATGGTGTCATGTGTACCATAATTAGCACTCATAATTGGAGTATGCATATTATAATCCATAGTCGCGCTAGTCCATGCTGCTTATGAGGTAAAATGAGTTGCTCAGTAAAAAATCAGCATTGCCTTTGCAGCAGCCAGTGGGCCATACCGAGCCTCAGTGCATGCACACAGAAAGCAGGCACGTGCAGTAAACCACTGTGCTTAGACACAAACCACTCTCGCGCTCCTTGTTTGTAGGATGTGATGTCACGTGTGTCTACAACTTCATATTGTTTACAGATAAAAAAAAATTATTATTACAAATGTTTCACAGAGTTTTTCGCCCTTTTCATTTTGCAATCAGACACTGCCCGGTTAGTTTTTCATCGCACAGCAAGAAATAGGTACCATAAAAATTGGTTGGAAGGCATGTGGCGAATCCCTGTAGGTCCGCTCATGCTTGGTAGATTCTGAAAATTTTTGAGGCAGTCAATTTATGTGGCAATAAGCTCTCTTACTGAAGCCATTAAATGATTACTTGGAAAAAATGTGGCAAGGTTCATTTAGTAAAAAGTATTGAATCCGTTCATATATTCGACAGCGTTTGTATTTATAACATTAAGGCATACTTTAAAGAGTTACATATATTCGACAGCGTTTATTAGCCTGAGCCAGGGAACTTACATGAAAATGTCTTCTCTCACTCCCGGGAACCCTACATCGTTGACGGCTCTCGCTCCATGCAAGACAAGCACTTTGTGGAATGTGCGATGAGTGCACTCAACTAGATGCTGTGGAAATGTGGTAAAGTTGCATTGGCAAAACCAACTAATGTGTCAATCACCACTTAGAACATGCCCTTTGATGAAGAACAGAACAGGGCTGTAATGAGTTTATCAAATCAATTCAAATTGTAAAAAAAAAATTTATACCAGCAAGTGTTCATCAGATTTTTTCGGATTTGTCTGAAAACACAGAGCCCTACTAATATTGTAGCGAGCTGGTATCAGAGTTTCCTTTTATGTAGGTTGAAGTGCTGCACCAATTGGGCCATTCCACACCAAACTACCCTTGTTACACCTAAACATTGTTTTAATGCAGTCTTGTGGGCCGGTTGGTTATACATTTCTATATGATCACACTGCACAAAAACCAGAAAAAAACAAACAGGGAGGAAGCAGAAACACGAATGCTACATAGTGTCTTCTTAGTCAATCTATGTCAAGATTTTGTGTGCCGACATCATATAGGCAGGTACTTTATTTCAGTTGCAGTTTAAAATTAGGCTATGATCATTTCTGCTCGGGCAACATTGGGTGTATGTGCCCTGCTGGTTCTCTACTCATGGCAATGCGGATTGCGGGAGAAGGTTTAGTGCAAATATACATATCATCCATCGAAACTGATTGTCCGTAACGAGCCTTGAACAAGCCCGAGCCTACATGAATTGCTATGACAGTGTCAGAGCTGTTGAACTGCATGGCGAGGAGTTGCTGAATGTTCCGAAAATGCTTAGACAATGAACAATCAGTTCCCCAGAAACGCTAACGTGAAAAGAAGCTGACTGGGAGCTTAGAGAGGAAAAGGCTGATAGATGGGAAGGCAATCCCGGAGAAAGCCTCTTGCCTTTTAAACTTAGCCATGCATGCTCAGCAGCGCACAACTGATTAAATGGAGTGGGATCAAAAGAGGGAAACACGGTAGAGAGTAGGAAAGTTCGGCTCGACGTGAGTTTAGCTGCCAGGTGCACTAGACCGAATCAAAGAAATTGACTTGGATCCTAATTCGATGCGAGGTGAAGTTTTATTTTTTTGTAAGTAATGACAGTTTCAGCTATCTTAATGATGTGCTTTGTTGAGGAAACCTCGGATGAGAAACTTAAGAGGCACCAGCAGTGAGAATACTGATTTCTGCTGTGTATTTCATGCCTCACAAGCTCAACACGTCTTTACTGCTATTGTGTGGTGTTCTCATCCTTATTGTTTTAGAACTTTTACTGCTGTTAATGTTTCCTTGGACTGCAGATTGATTGGATACCTATTTTTAAATTGCTTGACGAGAAGAGCATTGATTAGTCTGCAGAAATATTACTTTTGAGCATAAACTTTTCTTTCTTATCATTTACATTTGACGAAAGATATAGTTTGCTGAAAGTGTGGCCTTAGGATGGCAAGCGCTCCTAGACTGATTTTTTATGCAGCAAAATTACTAAATTGTTGCTGCTCCGACGCCACTCCAAAAGTAGCGTTTTCGTGTTAGATGAGTAAATGCTGTAGTTATTTGTGTTCAGGTGGTAAGGCCGAACTAGTTGCAACATATTTTAATTATTTTCACAAATGTATGTCGAGTCGGGACTCGATTCCTCTAACCAAACTGGAACCCTCTAGGAGAGAGAGATAGTGTGTGTGTGTGTGTGTGTGTGTGTGTGTGTGTGTGTGTGTGTGTGTGTGTGTGTGTGTGTGTGTGTGTGTGTGTGTGTGTGTGTGTGTGTGTGTGTGTGTGTGTGTGTGTGTGTGTGTGTGTGTGTGTGTGTGTGTGTGTGTGTGTGTGTGTGTGTGTGTGTGTGAGAGAGAGAGAGAGAGAGAGAGAGAGAGAGACATTTTAATGACTAGCAGACATTATGAACATAGTAGCCAGTTATTTCTATGCGAGTACACTCAAAACATCTCCTTGCCTTGTCTATGTAGTTTATACAAGATCTAATGCAAATGATACTACGTGGCTTTCTTTACACATTGCAGCCACATGCTGCCCCTGGTTGTAGCAGGTAGATATTTCAAAGTGGGGACAATGGTGTACCTTCATCTGTCAGAAAATGATGCTGCTGTGTCACATTATAATCAAAGATGACAGGCAGTGGAGTAGACAATTATGTTGCTTTATCTGAACATCATGCCAGCACTAAATACTACGCACGTTCATGGACAGTGTAGTGGACATTGTACTATATGCCCATATTACAATATTACGCACAGCTGTGATTGAGTTCTATTAACGAGATTGCATTCTTAGCAGCTGTGGTGCTGGGCGGTATTCAGAAACATTTTGTTGGAATAGACTTACGAGTAAAACTGCCTTTTACTGCCATGCCCAGACCGCACGTGATATGCCTAATAAATCATGCAGACCGTAGCACTACCCCCTAAGCTTTAAAAGGGACCTGCAATACTTCTTCTAGTAGCCATGGAATGGATTCACTAAAGGAGCTTATTGTCTCAGGAATTTGTTGCGCCCCAAATTTTTAGAATCCGTCCAGTACGAGCGAGATTACAAACATTTGTTGCACACTGCAGTTGCATTCTCTCTTCTCTTGTGCCCACGAAAGCACTGGAAGCTAAGCAGGGAGGGATGGTATGGAGAAATAAAATATGTCACGTGTGCCTTGTGGTTTTGAGCGCTTTTTCTCTCCCTCTTTCTCCCCCTTTTTGAATTTGCAGACTTTCGGTGCAACAACACATGCACGCATGGCCAAGTCGCGGCCTCTCACGACTGCCCCAGTAACGATCGAGCATGCCATGCTCAAATAGCCATTGGCTGATACAATAGTGTCACTTGTGATTCTTAAGCTTGTAGCTTCATTTGTCGAGAGATGAGAAAGCACTTTTTAGCTGACTTTGAGAATTTTTTAGGCTGCCTGCAGCACTATAATGTTTAGCTCGCGTGACCTCGGAAGTCTTGATTACCGAATGGCAGCGTTTTCTGATCATGCTCAAGAAGTGTTGCAGGGCTCCTGTAAGCAGATGGATGTCGCTGCAATTGAAGACATACATTTAAGTTTACTTTGACCAGTTCACAGTCAAGATATGTAAATCAACAAGACACTTCTTTGAGTGTATGGTTATGTTGTTAGCCTTGATTTTGAAGAGCCATACTGTCTGCAATCAATTTCAGTTGAGTGGTGCTAATTGCTTCATTGTTATTTCTGCAGGACCCTGCTGGTATATTTGAACTAATTGAAGTGGTTGGAAATGGCACCTATGGCCAAGTATACAAGGTTTGTGCTATGTATTTAATTGTCTGAACCAATTTCTTGTTTTTGTACAGAGAAATTCACGCCCTCCACCATTTTTTCTTTTTACGTCGCAGGGTCGTCACACAAAAACTGGACAGCTTGCCGCCATCAAGATTATGGATGTCACTGAGGTGGGATTTTTATTAAGGATAGATGTATTGCACAGAGGTCGCTCACGAGGGGTGTCGTAGTGCTTAGCTAATCGGGGTCAGTGATACCTGTTCACAAGGCCATTGTGACGCCACATGTGATTTCAGTGTTGTTTTGTCTTGTTGCAGCATTTCTTGTCTCCTGCTCATTAGCATCAAGAATTGATTTTGCTTTAGTCAGGGGTTTGTTATTTTTAAAGCACGGATGATAACCCGAACTACAGAACACTTTCAGTCAAACAGAGTCACTTAAATTTATCGGATATAGCTTGTTTCTCCCTCTTTTTTTTCTTTCACCAGACCGAAGCATTTATGTTTCCTTATCTTTTGCCATTGCAGGATGAAGAGGAAGAAATTAAGCTAGAGATTAATGTTCTGAAGAAGGTAAGTACATCACAGAGCATTATGCTTATGATTGCAAATGTTAAGGTTAAACTTTTGTTTATTTGAGAGCTAGTATTATAATGAACCCTTTTGCCTAGCTAGTAGAAACTTCCTGGAAGTTTTGCTTGAAACATAGGCGTTTTTTTTTTCTTCTATTTCTCTTTTTTATTATTTTTACGTAAAGGGTTCTTCAAACTTGTGTAACAGGACAGTGAGCAATGCACGAAAAATATGAATGTTGACGTATGTTGGGATGGGAAGACGGCACAGTTTATTCGATATCAAGTGAATCTGAGTGCTACACCAGCTGGAGATGAAGAGGAAGAAGTGAGATTGAGCAGGTCTTGTCATGCGAAAAAGATATACTATTCAAAGGTCCAATGAAGCCATTGCTCTGATAAGATGGGGACCACAGAAAGGGGACAGGACATACGTTAATTAAAGGTATTTGAGCATAGTGTAACAAAAAGATACTCAAAAAGAGTAAATTCAGTCATTTTTTTTCAATGAAGGTATAAAAAATTTGCTGCTCGGGCAGGGTAATTGAGATTGAATTCTTTGGGAGGATCTTTTACTTGCCATGGTAGGTTATGCGCTGTGGCTTATGTCTGCTTTCTTTTGTTCTCCATGCAGTATTCTCACCACCGCAATATTGCCACCTACTATGGGGCATTCATACAGAAGAGCCCACCGGGCAAAGACGATAAGCTTTGGGTGGGTATTTCACCTTAGTCTGCTACCGAGTAGATGTGTGCGCAGTCATGGCTGGGGTCCTCACAGCTGGCCTTGTCATTTTCAGTTGGTCATGGAGTACTGTGGTGCTGGTTCAGTCACAGATCTTGTCAAGTGTAAGTCTTTATATTTTTATTATCCCTCTATTTAAACGAGTGTCTTTCTAGCTCGTTTAGTGTTATACATACAAAACCACTGTAGAACTCTTTTTCTTTTATTAGTTTTTTTGTAAAAGCTTTCAGTCGTCGTGGAATTGTCTAGCAAGAGGATAGAGGTTGCCTGGTGTTTTTAACTTGTAGATCAAAAGTTTACTTAGGTAGATTGAAATGTTGTTCGAAGATGTAAAGTTGCTCTAATAACTGCGGCTATTTATTAAGGAACAGGTAGCATTTCAGGACGTGCATTTCATTTTGTACAAATTTATTTTTATTGGGATGTTCATCGGATGATTCCATCCAATCGCTACGTTAAAATATGACCATGGAACAAAAGCTATATTTCAGAATCAGCATCTAGGTTTCAGTCATTCTGAAGATTGAGCTGTACTCATACGATAGACAAAATTGCTATTTGAGCCTGCGAATCACTATCTATGTCACCTTATGTTAGCCTGTCCGACGTCCTCGCATCAGTCTGTGCAAAGCGATTAATGAAACGGCGGAAACCCAAATTATAATTGGGATCCTCGGGGAGCAGTTCTGAAATGCTCGCTTGTAGGATGAATTCTCTCCTGTCGTGTAAATGCTGGTTGCAGAGGCATCTGAATCACATCGCACAACTGATCCATTCGCAATTACGTTCGTAATGTTGAATACAGCTTTAGTATCAATATATTTCTTGAAACATGACAAATTCTTTTAAAAAATAACCGATATATGAGATCATAGAAAAGGCCTGCCAAATGGCAATGTTAGCTGCCATTTTGTTGAAACAAAATGTCAAGTGTGTGCGTGTGTGTGTGTGTGTGCGCACATGCGTGTATGTGTGCGTGCATGTCTGGTTACCCATCAGTTTTTGAAACAAAGCAACTCATTAAATTTGCATGATTAAAGTGGTAGCTTGTTGCGGTGTGATAGGGGTGGGCCTTGCAGTTTGCAGGTTTATTTTAAAATATTTCTACTCAACAAAGGACTATTGGTATCATGTTTCGTGCAATCATGGGCTTTTATGTCGGAAGCAATATTATATAAAAGTATTTTTGGCATGAATGCATGAAAATTTAGCAGTGTGCTTGATAATGAAATTTACAACTAATATAAAATCCTCCAGCGTTCAAGGACTATTCTTTTAACAGACCACCTGTGCCACTTTAACTTAAACAGGAAAATTCACTACAGTCAGTGAACTTAAGCAGCCTTTATTGCTGTATTGTAGCCGAAACTGCATAGGAGATATTTGTATTTAGCACTCAATAAGTGAATGCTAGACAAGTCGATGTCACCCTGCATGTGGAAAAATTTATGAAGAATAGTGGTTAGTTCAGTTAAGCTGCGGTATAGCCCTCAACTCTATGTAATAAAGGAACAGGTTTGAAGCTGAAGTGCTTTAGTGTACATTAAAAAGTGCCAGCCATGACTGCAACTGATGTGGTATTTACAGCAACCAAGGGCCAGTCATTGAAGGAAGAGTGGATTGCATACATTTGCAGAGAGATCCTCAGGGTAGGAGATAGTTTGCTGCTGCGATTCTTAGCCTTTTAATTTTTCGGTTTTCCCATTGCCAACTTACTACTCACTTGTGCCCTCTCTCCCCCTGCAATCCTCTCTTCCTCCTCATTTAGGGCCTGAGCCATTTGCACGCCAACAAGATTATACACAGGGACATCAAGGGACAAAATGTCCTGCTCACCGACAATGCTGAAGTAAAGCTTGGTAAGTAGTGTGGTGTAGTGATGCCTCGAACACATGTTCTTGTTTCAGTTGTTGAAACTAAGCTTGGTTTGATTGTGCCATGCCTGTTCCGTAAGGGGTTAAGCGCTGCATGTGCAGTTTACTGTTGTTGGTTATTAGAGATGCAAGGGAACTATGAAGTACTGCTTTATGGCTACTATTACCAGAGTAAGCAGTTGCATTTATAATAAGCAAATTTAGGTCTCTTTTTTTGACCGGGTCACCTGAATTTTCCAGTGGCTCATCGCAGCTTTAGTGCTTATTTGCATTTGCCCAGAAAACAGTTATTTTAGTGATCATCACTTCTAGCAACAGCACGTTTGTCATACACTGATGGCGCGTTATCGATGAATTTGAGTACATAAGTGTTGTAGTCAAACATAAGTTGGGAGAATCGTCAAGTAACAGTAATCATGCACTGTAAATGTGTATTCAATTAAATGGAGGCTACCCTGAATATGTGCTTTCATTGTGCTGTACAAAATAGTTATTTTTTTCGATGCCCCGTCATATTTTTGCAATATTGTTTTATTATCCCCTTCAGGCGCAAATTAAATCTGGCAACGTGAAAATTTTTTTTTGTTCATAATTTCAATATTTAAGCCTTTTAAAGTAAGAAACTCGAAACAAATGCAAAATATGTTTATAGGTTCAATTTTTGCTCAGCGTCCGCATTTGTGGACATTGCGCCTCAAAGCAGTAATATTAGTGAAAGGCGACAAAGAAGAAAACACGTTTTCTATTTAAATTCAAAATAACTTCTTTCAAAGTAATGTTGGGAGAAGTTACCAGAAAAAGTCTATTTAGTGATGAAAGAGGTAGAAGCAGTCATTCTTCGATGTCAGGCAAAGAAAAATGTCACACTTCCTGCAGCGGACGCGGCTCTTGGATGAGCATCCATCCCTCCTGCAGCGTTTTGTGTTGGGTATGTTCATTTGCTGTGGCCAGTGCTGGATGCCGTCATAGCGAAGAGTGCTCACTGGCAGGGGTGACGCATTGGGTGCCTTCCTTTTCATCACCTGGGGGGTTCTCACTGCTTGGTCGCCCACGCTTTTTCTGGGGCTTGTTGACGCTCAGCTGATGATGATGATGATCCTTGATAGTCTGGCGCACACCCACAAAGGGGGATCGGCCAAGAACCGGGCGGCAGGATCTTAACTAAAAGGCTAATGGTTTTTCAAACAAAACGTAATTTTGTGTTCTCTTCATTCTCTTCCTCCTTTTCGTCGTCCGAAATGTCTCCATCGGAAACATCTCCATTGGCTACTTTTTAAGGACGTCTTCTGCTGTTTCACCGTCGACTTTTTGTCGTCTCGATGCATGATCTTGAACTCCTGGTGACAAAAATTATTAACGTAAACATCATTTGATGCTGCCGGAAGTGAAACACAGAGAAATAGCAGCCTTTCAACAAAAGAGGCACTGAAGCGCAGTGTCCACGTTCGCGGACGCGAAATTTAGCTGAACCTTTCTGTCATTACAAATGATTTCCTATTGCCAAAATATTGTTAAAATGCATGCGGGATATCTTAGTTATTACTGACAAATGCAAAATTTCACGCCAGCTAAAAAGGTACGAAGTAAACGATAAAAACATCAGAGCCACTTACGCGTCGCGCCATAGAAAGTGGAGGCGTCCATTTTGACTTTTGTTTACAATGTTATTTTGAACCAAGTGCAAGAGATGGCGCCACGCGTCCTTGCAGCAGGATGCAGAGGTTGCGGGAGCCTTGTTTGCGCGCGAGATTCAAGACCTATTTTCGAAACACCTAGGTGTGAACTTGGCGTCCACAAATGTGGACGTTGCGCCTGAAGGGGTTATAGTACAAATATTTTCGAGTGGAAAGAATTATTTTCCACTTCTTCTGGGTTTCTTCGCAAAAGTTGTGCCACTTTTCTTGTGTTTCTTTTGAAATGATTGTTTGTTAGCTTGGCTACCTCTGGCAAATCTTTACTAAACAATGTCTCACTTTGTAATGACAACTCACTTAATATGCATTTGTATCATTTTATGGTTTCTGAGAAATATCGTGAGGTTCAATTATTTGGTCTCTAAATGATGATGAATCGAGTGGACTACTTCTGATTGGCATTTAAACATTCTTATCAGATTCTTCGAAAACCAGATTAGAAAAGTAGGCAGAAGTCGCTTGTGAATATTTCTAAATTGCCTTTCTTTCTTCTTCTCTCTCTCTCTTTTATTTTAAAGGGTTTCCTTTGGAACTTGGGAACTTTGCTTCATGGCAAAATTGAAATAAATTTGTTTCCTTGCACATTAGCTAGCTTGTGCACCAGTTTCAAAAACTCATGTTCTACCTTGCTGTAAATTGTCGCATTCATATTAATATTTGATACTTCTTTGTTCTGAACAGTGGACTTTGGAGTAAGTGCTCAGTTGGACCGTACAATAGGACGGCGTAACACATTTATTGGAACCCCTTACTGGTAAGTACTGTTCAAAGGTGCTTGGCTATTCATGCTCTTTTATGAAGCTTCTCATTATTCCATTATTATCAATGTCGGGCTGTGGTAATCTTGCAATAGCATTCATTGAAGACAGGCCTATGTTTTAAAGGCTGTCGTTAGCCTATTGCAGTCTATTGGTAGCAGTTCATTGTCGGGCAGGGCTCGACAATAAACTTCAAAGGGCTAAAGCCAAAATGAACTGCCCATATATTGCTAATAGATTTGGGCACAAAATAAATAGCATAGTAAAGATCCTACGGCCACTAGCATGGATCTGGTCTTAACGAGCCACAGGGCACGCGTTAACCATCACCGTGGCGAGAACACGATACTGCTCAAGCTCGCAACACTTTATTGCCTGTGGCAACACCAAACGCAGTACAGTCTGTTGCAAAGGCGCGGCGGGAAAGCAAATGAGCTTATCCACGCAAAGGGCGAAAAGTACTATACAGGGTGCCACGAGCACGTCTCCGTGGTAAATGTGATTCGTGGAGACACCGGCACCAATGCCCGGTTGCTCAAGCGAGGGCAAAGGCGCTCGCATTGGCTTCCGAGGGAGACAGGTCGGCGTTGCTTGGCCACGCACTAGGACACCGTACCGCCCTTCGGCCGAGCGTACGCAAAGGGGCAACAAAAGGCGAGCGTTCGCTCGGGCGCGAGTCGCTGTCAGCTAAGTCCCGACGGACTCCGAACAACGGGAGTCGATGGACAGAAAAGGGAATGCGTGCTCACCGTAAGCTGTCCTGGAGAATCTCTGACCCGCTCCCGACGCACGTGTGATACCTCTCGGGAGACTTCCCACGCGGCGCCACAGTCGACATCCGCTACCGGGTGAGGGGGGTTAAACATCACTCCTCGCCCTCCCAGCGCAGCAGACAGCGGAGAAGGGGAGTCATGTCTGGACATGAGATTGGCAGAAAAGGCGGCAGAGCCCGCGCGAACGCAGCGGGCTAGCCTCAATTCTCACAAGCGCAACAGAAAAAGCATAGTGAGAAGATATTGCAAAATTCTTGGGCATTCTTTGTCGTAGTTGCTTGGACAAGGCGTCACAGACAGTAGCGAGAACTCGGGGAACAGCATTTGTACTGCAGTTTTCAAAACTGAGTCGTTGGTAATTGGAGCAAATTAATGAATTTCTAGGAAGGAAAGACATAAGGATGCAGTTCTAGGAGAGTTGGGGAAGAAATGCAGCTTTAAATTCTGCCGACTTACAGTAATTACTCGAATCTAACTCGCACCTTTTTTCCGGTTAAGCGAGTTCATAAATTGCATGCGCGTTAGAACCGAGTACGAAAAAAAAAAAAAAGAACTGAATACGGTTATTCTATTGCCATCGGCATATCCAAAATGGCTGCCTCCTACGTGCGTTGGCCATTTCTGCCTATATGTTTCCTATGTGCAGCACTTCATACGTGTGCCGAGTAGTTCATCTTGTAGTGCATTAGCGTCGACGGCATGGAAGGACAGACTCCAAAAACTCGAGTGCACCACGATGCCGCTTTTAAAAGAAAAGTCATCGCGTGTGTAGAAACGAACGGAAATGGGCCGCATCGCGGTCGTTCGGAGTTCCCGAAACGTGCGTGCGGGACTGGCGGAAACAAAAGCAGAAGATTGTCGACAGCAAAGCTTCACGCAAAGGCTTCAGTGGATCACAGTAGGGTCGGTTTCCGCAAATTGAAGAGCTGCTCGGCGAGTATGTGCTTGAGCAGTGAGCGGCTCAGCGGCCCGTGACGACAGAACTGCTGCAAGTGCGGGCTATGCAGTTAGCCTTAGAATAGAAAAAGGGCTAATGCGGAGCCAGTTTAAAGCGAGCAGGTGCTGGCTAACTAACTTTATGAAGAGGAAAAGCTTTTTTTCCCTCTGAAGGCGAACGGGCATATGCGAAAAGTTTCGAGAAGAGTACGATGAAAAGCTTCACAGTTTTCAGAGGTTCGTCCTTAATTGCGGCACAACAACGGCTATTTACTTGGGCGAATCGGGAATGCCGATCAGACGCCTCTTTACTTGGACATGCCTAGCACCACAACCGTCAAGAAGAACGGGGCGAAGCAAGTTCGCGTGCTGACATCGGTCCACGGTAAAACTGAAGTGACGGCAATGCTCTGTTACACGTCAGATGAGCACAAGCTTCCCCTGTACCTCATATTTAAATGGAAGGCGCTCCCGAAAGGAGTCGGTTTTTCGAGTGGTGTGATCGTGCGAGCCAACGAGAAAAATGGGTGCGCGTTGCAATCGATGTCTTCCTTTTTTTGTTTTTCATCGTCGAAACCGGGTGCGCGTTACTATCGAGGGCGCGGTATAATAGAGTAAATGCGGTAAGTGAATTTTCTGCTCTTTTTATGCACACATGCTTACATTTAAAATAAGTGTCCTCTGCAAAATATCATGCCTAAGTCTTTATTTTTTTTTTTTAATACACAGGATGGCTCCAGAAGTGATTGCTTGTGATGAGAACCCAGATGCCACATATGACAACAGGGTAAATATACATTCGGCATGCATTTAGTGCCTGCATTGACTAGTTGCATGCAAGAATGGCTCTTCGGCACTTTGCTTTCCTAAATTTTCACCTTTATGTTTGTGTGTTTAGGTTATTATTTTGGTAAGAAACTTGCCATGTATGTCGTGGCTTCAACTGGTTCCAAAGTTTTCCTCGGCATCCCTGAGATTGTGTGTACTGTTTCAGAGTGATCTGTGGTCACTTGGAATCACTGCGCTGGAAATGGCAGAGTCGCAACCTCGTGAGTCATTTAGCTTTTCTCATCTCTTAGAACTGTGTTGTATGTAATGACTGGCAGTGATGGAAGCGCTGCTTCGATTGCTTCAAACTGCTCCAAAAAAGAAATGCTGCTCCAAGAAGTCACATTTGTTAATGGTTGCTCCATATGTGCTCCAAAATCACACTTGGAGAGTAAGAATGACGAACTTTTACTGTCAGACCTCCTCATAAATTTTAAGGAAACTGAAATAAATTTGTGTATTATCTTCGAAGTATTACTTGTGTGCAACATTATCTGCTCTGATCTTATCTTATATGCAACAAGAACTGGCAAATTAAGCATATAGCTCATTTGGCTGTGTTCTTTTTTCTAAGCTTGACATGCAGGCTAGTGTGGTAAAATGTAAAAATGAGCATGATTGCTTTTATCTCATACCGATTATCTATTGCTTATTTGGTAACAGTTACATGGGACTGTGGTTACTTCTAAAATGTGGAACTCAGTGTTTCTGGTTTGATTTGATTTCTGCCACAAATGGTTGGATTTTAAATTGTAGCTCATTTTATATCACATTGTAACCACCTGCAATTTTCTGTTTCATGAAATTTACAATGATTGTTGTCTGTTAAATATATTTCATAATAAATATTAGTTTTTATGAGATGCTTTGGCAATACGCTGCACCCCAATTAAGTATGGCCAATGTAATATCTGCTCCTAAAACAGCAATAGCTTCTCTAAACTAACATTTTTTATTTTGCGCCGAAAACACTTTGGTTCCAAAGCAGTACTTTTCCTGTTTCAAGGTATGATTCAGAAAATAAAAAGTCGCTTCCATCACTGGACTGGCTTATCTTGCCTGGCTGCTAATGTGTGCATTGTAACTGAAAGCCCATATTGTAACCTCTGTAATGATTGAAATGCCCTCTATGTAGATGATGCAGCCTGTAGCTTTTTCACTTCCCCGTAAACTCCTTCTTGGGTTAATGACAAGAAATAATGTCAAGAAATGCAAATTTCCATTCCAACCTAGTAGGGATTTGTCATAAATAAATCGTGAAGTGCTGTAGGGGCACTTTGCCTCCATTATTTGTATGACTGGTTGTGAGAAAAAGCGCTAGGACAGGGCTAATAGAAGCGCTTACTGTGTCCTGACTTTTTTTCGTATATGTGAAATACCATGCACAATTGCAACACCCACAAAACTAGGTTGGTTTCCAAGCCACGCAGTTTGTTTCTCTCGTTTTGTCTAATTCCCTTTGGAACAATGTCATTTACCATGTGCATTCCTGCTGCCCTCATTTCAGCTTTGTGCGATATGCATCCAATGCGGGCACTATTCCTGATCCCCCGGAACCCGCCACCTCGGCTCAAGTCACGCAAATGGGCAAAGAAGTTTCACAGCTTCATCGAGACTGTGCTTGTCAAGGACTACCAGCAGAGACCCTACACAGAGCAACTGCTCAAGCACCCGTTCATCAAAGATCAGCCCACCGAAAGACAGGTACACATCCAGGGTGTTGAAGCCATTGTCATTTTGGGTTATACAATAGTTAAACCACTACATAACGAAGTCTCTAAAATCTGGGATTCAAAAGTGTTGTAAAGTGTTGCGGCTTGGGCAAGTTGGTTATCTTAGAGCTTAGTTTGTATTAGCGCGGCTCTATCAAAACTTCGTTGCATTGAAATTAAACCTCTCAACCAAAGTACGGTCACCACAGGTTTATTTTGGAATCTGGAAATTCAGGAGAATGGTCGAGTAGTGCGGCTGCGCAAGTACTCGTTTTATCAACACACACACAAAAAAAAAAATTCAATTTACTTAACCCTGAGTTTCAGTAGCAATGGCTTGACCCTGTTTGCTTGGGCCACTCGTGCGACTAATTGTATGGTCAAGCAAGGCGAAGCTACATGAAAAGTCAACATAGCTGCTCTTTCCCATGGTCGCTCGGTTGGCTTGGAGTGTACTTCGCAACGGATCAGCAGGGTTATAGTAGATTCTATGGGAGTCATGCCGGGAATGGCAAAAAATTATGTGACAGCTAGGTAAATACAGCAGTAAGGAACGTTATGGCAAGGTTCTACTATAGCCCCACGGTGGTGGAAGAGTGGCTAAGGTACGCCTTGCCGCAGTGGTCTTGTGGCTAAGGTACTCGGCTGCTGACCCGCAGGTCGTAGGTGGCTCGAATCCCGTCTGCATTTCCTAAGGAGGCGGAAATGTCGTAGGCCCGTGTGCTCAGATATGGGTGCACGTTAAAGAACCCCAGGTGGTCCAAATTTCCGGAGCCCTCCACTAGGGCGTCTCTCATAATCATATGGTGGTTTTGGGACGCTAAACCCCACATAGCATAAGTGGCTAAAGTACTCGGCTGCTAACCCGCCAATTGCGAGATCGAATCCCGGCTGCGGCGACTGCATTTCCGATGGAGGCGGAAATGTTGTAGGCCCATGTGCTCAGATTTGGGTGCACATTAAAGAACCCCAGGTGGACGAAATTTCTGGAGCCCTCCACTACGGCGACTCTCATAATCATATGGTGGTTTTGGGACATTAAACCCCACATATCAATCAATCTGTTCTGGCAGTGAAGTTGTTTTGGCAACTACTAAACATCATGCATATACCCAAAAGCAATGCAGGTCCAATGTGTTGTGGTAATATGGGATAAGCATTCACAGAAATCACGTGCAGCTCTACCACATAACTACAGGCCCAAGCAGACCTGTCAATTTAGCTCTTCCACTAGTGCAGCACTGAAACTTTCTTGCGGTGAAATCATGGAAACACTTACTTCATTATACTGAGGTTCAAAATGCATCGCTTTCTATGAACATGGAGTTGAGAAAAGTGACATACTTCATTATATAAAGAATTTCGTTATGATGAAGTGCATCATATCGAGGCTTAGCTGTAGCTGCACTTCTGAGTGTTTCATTTTTCAGCCTATTTAAAAAGCACAAGTATTTGTATTGTAATTTGCACGTGAAACGTGGCATGGGGGCACCCATCGTGGTAGCTCAGCAGCTGTAGTGTTATGCTACTGTGAATGAGGATTCAGGTTCCCAGCCATAAATTACATTGGACGCATAATACCAAGGGCACAATGAAAAAACTCCAGTTGATCAAAATTATCTCATATCTCCTATGGTGGGCCTCATTGTCATATTGATTTTTGCATGTGCTTCTCCAAAATTTCTTATTTCTAAATCATGAATGTTATTTGTGTGTGTGTGTGTGTGTGTGCGTGTGCGTGCATGTGTAAAAACTGGGTATATTTTCGCTAACACCGTGGGGATACCTTTGTGCTTCAAGACAAGCTGGTGCATATCCAGCTAACATAGCTGCGAAGTTTACTTTCGACCAATGAAACAGTGCTAAAACAAGATGGAAGACAAGAGAGCACAAACACGGATGTTTCGCTGCTTCGTCTGCTGTTCTAGCGCTGTTTCATCCAAAATCAGTATGTACTAATCGTCCTAAAGCAAGATTCTATTACTGTGAAGTTGACCCTTTCAACCACCACTTTCTTGTCTCACTGTTTGTATTTCATTTATCCTATTCCCTTATTTGTTGCTCAGGGCAACAAGAATGACATAACATTAGATTGCGATTGTTGTCTCACATAATAGGTGTTTTTTACAAATGTGTATCGTTTGTGATGTAGTCATTCTGTCTGAGGCGAGGGGGGTGCATTTTCTAAATTTTATTTTTCGTCATTTTGCTTAAGTTGCACTCATTCCTTCTCGATGCAGGTGCGTATCCAACTGAAAGACCATATGGACCGATGCCGTAAACATAAGCGCTCAGCCACGGGAGCAGGAGGTCCCAGGGAGGTGCCAGGAGGGCCCGATGATTACCGCTACAGGTTCGTGGCTCACTGAAGCCGTTGTTGCTCGCAACCATGGTGGGAAGTGGCACTAGTTCAGACTTGCATGGCTTGATCACTTTCTCGATATGGTGGAGAGTGAATGAGAGTGTGAAGGTTTTGGTAGCCCCATGGATGTGTATTGCACTTGCAACATGGAAACATGTGGGTCTGGCTCCTGCCTGTCACTTTGTGCATTTTCCATCGTCTTGCTTCTACAACTTTTTATTTAATGGCTCACTGCCTACTGCCTTTGTAAGTAGCAAAAAAAAAAGACACACTCAGTTCTCCTAATTATCCTCAGTATTTTAAGTCGAAAGCCTCAGACGCCCCATAAAAAGCGAAAATTGATATCAAACAGTGGCGGCGTCAACACGACTGATGCAAAAATATTTGTGTTGACGTCATTACGTCACATACTAGAAAAAGTGTGATGTTATCGTGACATCATCACGGTCGAAGGTGGGCAATCGTGGAGGCAGTGCTAAGCCAGGTGAGGTGCCAGAAAGCTTTTAATCCCTCCGATCCTAAAGGCAGTGCCAAAACACGTTAGGTGCAGAAAACATTTAATGCCTTCTATTTTTAAGGCAGTGCAAAACCATATTAGAGGCAGAAAGCTTTTTCATAGGTGGTGGGGGTGGATAAATAGATAAGGTCACTTTGCCTTTGAGTTGTCTTAGGCGAACAGAGAGCAATGCACTACAAGAAGTGTTCTTGGAATTAGTTTGGCTGTCTGCAAAGGAGAGCATCCTGGGCACGCCCTAGGGAAAGTGGTTACTGAAGTGCGAGTTTCATCTCTGCAGTGGCAGCGAAGGTGAAGACGAAGATGGTACGGCGGGTGAGCCAGGCTCCGTGGAGCCGGCACAGCGTGACTTGACCCTGAAGCGGAACTTTCAGCAGCTACAGGCTCGGGATGGTACACTCACTTCTCCACAACAGCAGCAGCAGCAACCAAGCAAGCCTCCCGAGCTTCCTGCCAGGCCACCACCAGTGCCACCACAGAGGGTTATAGGTGAGCGGTATCCACATCCCGATAAGCGTCGCATATTTTCTTTCGGATGTAAGTCCCGGTATTTAAGTGTTCGTGGTTTTTGTATGTAACCGAGATAAGCCATGCCTCTCTTGTGTACAAGTGTAGATTTTGAATGTGTGTGCCTCCATGCATGCCACAGTGGGCGGCCTATTCAACCAACCAGTTATGAAAAAGTGTTTAAGGCAGCCGTAATGTGTTTTCAACGGCAAAGTGTAGCCTTAAAGGTTGAAAGAAACTTTTTCTGAGACATTGGTCAATGGCAACCAACCAAGGATGATAGTTGGAAAATCGTGCCCCCCTTTTCTCAGCTTGGAAAATTATTGCCGGAGTGAGGCCAATCACGGTGGCCTGCAGTTACAGTTATTTATGGTAGATCCAATTTGTTTGTATACAAATCAACAAACTTTTTAGTACTTAAAACTCTATGGATCTTGACTGGACCATGCCTCCTGTTTGAAAATTTGTAAAATCAGGATCACATAGCATTTACTGATCTGCAACTTCATTGAAAACTTTTGAAAACTTCCTTTGTGGGTGCCATGTTGTTCATACTGAATGTAAGAACATAGTAGCTAAATTATTTCTCTAGCATTGTGCACATATTCTCTCACTAATAGTTTTGAAAACTTCCTTTGTGGGTGCCATGTTGTTCATACTGAATGTAAGAACATAGTAGCTTAATTATTTCTCTAGCATTCTGCACATATTCTCTCACTAATGGCAGGTTGGATGTATTGGCAAGACAGTTGATTTCATCTATTGCTCAGATGGTCAGACTGCTTGCACCCACAAGCAACAGATTTTACCAATACGGCGGCACTCCTGTTGACTGCTTAAAGAAGTGAGGACGCTCTCTCGAAAATCTAGGCAAATGGAATTGCTCCAAGTGTAGTACAAGAAGGGCATTGCTGGCATTCTGTCTTCAAGCCGCTTTAATGGACCATTAAGGGGGGACATTGTGTGTAGAAATATTTTCTGCGTTTTTAGAGCAAACATGATGAAAATGTACATGCTTATGTAGTTTTTCCTGCTGATTTCAAATATGCACTAATTATTTTTGTAGGTAAATCAATTTAGAAGATGCACAATGCTGCTGCTCTATTGTTTTCAGAGACAATATGAAAGAAAGTGCTTATCAAAAAGTGGATATTATTGCACAGCTAGACAGTGCGATTAGCAATAAGTGCAGTGCTGCAAGCGATTTCAAATCAAAAAAGAACTGGTGATTCTAAAGATGATGAAAGTTCAGGAGTCATGTCATGGCTATCACATATTAAGAAATTTAATACATTTTAAATTTATATGGGCAGCAAATAGAAATTCTGCTCTCAGCACTTTGTAATACACAGATTGGCCTTTATGTTAACGAAAAAATTATTGCTCTAGCTCTTCTAGATCGTAAAATATCAACCCGATAATCTAGTAAAGTCACCAAAGAGCATGTTTTGAGAAAACTGATGAAAACAAACAAAACTCATTCATTTACATTGCTGGACTTGAAAATGCTCAGTATGCACCAGGCATATAGTCCTTTTGACTACGAGCCCATGTGTGGGGCGTTTTCAGGGACTGGTTGCTCAGGGACTGGTTCAGTTGCTTGTCGCTTCTTGGCTGATGCTGCCAGGCGCCCTCGATCCTTTTCAGCCTTACGGCTGCGGCTTTGCTAGCTGGGGTTTAGGCTCAGCTGTTTCATTATGTCTCCTGATGCCCTTTGATTGCTTTCGTTAAACTTGAGAACTGCTTCTGCCACAGCTGCCTCCACTGTGAATATAGAAGCATGTCGCTTCTTTGGTGCCAGTGCCCAGATGATCGAATGCAGGCATTCATTGTTGTTTTGGGTTTTCCCACGCTGGCATTGTAACTCTTGGCAGACATGTGGAGGCAGCTTTCGACAAAGTTTGGGAATGGGCTCCCCCTTCGCCTTTACCACATTTTGTTTACACCAGGAATTTGGGCCAGCTGGTCACAGAGAGTGGTTTGCCATATCATCGTTAAATGTGATGTGATAAGTGGCCATCACTGCTGTGTGCATAGCATCAACACCACTGTGGGTCTTCAGAGCCCACCCATAATAATTGGTAAGCTTGGAGGTCAGGTCTCCTGTCAAGCGGCCCTTTCCTCCTAGACTCTCAAGACCAGGGCCTTTGTGTTTTGCAATCAAGGTGCGCAAAGCAGTGCCCATACACTTTTGGACGTGATTAATGCAGTCCTCTTTTTCCACTGGTATATAACTATAAACCTTATCTTGTAGTGCAAGGTAACTACAATTGTCCCTGTTGCAAAGCAGGGCCTTTGTGTTTTGCAATCAAGGTGCGCAAAGCAGTGCCCATACACTTTTGGACGTGATTAATGCAGTCCTCTTTTTCCACTGGTATATAACTATAAACCTTATCTTGTAGTGCAAGGTAACTACGGCTGTCCCTGTTGCAAAGCACCGTGGTGTAGAGCAGGTTGTGCTGCTCAAGAGACCTCTTCAACAGGATGAGGGCAGCCTCAACCTCCATTTCCGCAGCCTTTTGTCACTGTTTTTCTGACACTGGTGATGTTCCTTCCACGCTGCATATATTAAGTTCGGTGTAAAGTTCGAGAACCTACCTTGCGCAGTCGCTCGTCAAATTGCGTGCTGCATGATCGGCCGCGGGTGCCAACTTCGTCTTGACGTAGTGTTGTCACGTTTTCGTGTGAAGACCCCGACGGCTGATGCCCATCAACGCGAATACATCATTCAGCGCAGTCTAGCCTGTTCCCCGTGGCCTGCATGGCATGCGCGGCCAAAATGTTCACAGCAAAAGGGTTATGCACGGCGCGCAGTGAGCTCCACAACGACGCAGTCTCTCCGCAGGTCAAGCACACAAAACGCAACTTCACGGTGAGTCCGATTTCTCGGTCGTCGTGGACAATCTGCAGTTCTCCATTGCATGCGTGCACTTTGCAAATGCCGGCAAAGTGCTGTTGAATGTGCCCAAATTTACAGTCCAAACCAGCAATAACAAAATCGCCGGGGAAACTGAAAAATTTCGTTTTCGTGAGAATTTCGTTGCCGCGAGTATGAGACATAAAAACAGTGATACGGCCAGCAGAACAAAAATTTGTTGCCTGAAGTCGGTCAACTTACTTTGCCGACCCTTGCCATGCAACAACTTCAAAGCTCTTCCTTCGCACTGGAAAAAGTGGTCCATTGCTACATCGTCGTCATGTGCACTGAAGAAGGAGCGAAGGGTGTCCAGCACACCCAAAACAAGCCGCAGGTTGTTTTGGATGCGCTAGCGTGTCGTTCGTGCCCGCACTCATAGACCACGCGCCCGCTCATAGTAATCTGATCGTGCCGCCGCTTACAGCTTCGTTGCATGCGACGAAGCACGTCGCCACAAGTGCGCTAGCGCGTCGTTCCTGCCCGCAGTCTCGCTGTCGGCGGAGTGAGGGCTAAAGACGGCTCCGATGACACGCCACGCTTAAAGTAACCTGATCGCGCATCCGCCTACTGCTCCTAACTAAAGCATAATTATATCTTCAGTGATCATCGAGCTGTGAACACGCCACGAAGTAGCAATTTTCGAGAGCCATGTCCTCGCGGCGCAAAAGCAGCAGACGACGATCTCCCGGAAAGAGCATCGGGCCAATTGCGAGGCGAGCTGAGGCAACATGGCGGCCACAGCCAATCAAGGGCCTCGAAACGACCTTCAAACATTTGCTTTTTGTGCGCTTGTTTTTAAAGGGAAGAGCCAGCTGAGGCAGAAAAGTTAAACATGGAGAAATGCTCTTTCCGATGAGACCAAGAAGCCGGCTCCCGGCCCCGCCATTGCGAAGCCATAGTTTTTTGAAAATCGCAGTTTTCTTGCGGTTTTCAGAAAAAGTTTCGCTACCTAGGTGGGTGAAATGAATTTTTCTAAGCACTTCTGCGCGGTTTTCAGTGTAGATATTGCCGCGAACCATGCATTGGGTTTGTTTATTTGTGTCAGATGTCACACAGCAAAGGACGACGCAGTTGTCTACGAGGAAAACAAGTTTATTGGAGCGAACCTGTGCTCCCCTAACAACTGAAAAAAATACACAGGCGGCGAAGCAGCGGCCAGCAAAACGACGGGCACGCTAGTGTGCGTCGGCGATCGAATGACGCGGCATCGGCTGTGCGGGAATTTATATCCCTCGGCGCGAGGGTTTCTCGAACAGTCGAATTGTATCGAGAACGCCGTGATAGCGTTTGTTAGAAACGCTGTTCGTTCGAACAGCGCTTCCAACAAACAACGCTTGAAGCGTTGTTTCTATCGAACAACGCTTGAAGCGTTTTCGCGTTTGTTCGAAACGCTGTGGTAGCATTTGTTCGAAACGCTGTGAAAACAGCGATAGCACAGGCCGGCGCAGCCAGGCCGAAAAAAAAAAAACAAAACACAAATAAACAAAACCCAATGCATGGTTCGCGGCAATATTTTGGAATCGGATAGAAAAAGGGTTTTAGAAACTGAAAACTTGATTTTCAAAAAATCGATTTTTTTGCCATTTCTCACGATCCCATAGCCACTTTCCCCCTTAAGTAAACAAAAATGGTGGTACCCATGCTAGCGCAGCAAAAGCAGACGTTTACAAATTTTGAGTGCACACAACACGCATACGAGTATATTTTCGACAAATAACCTTTGGCGGGAGGGTAAAATAAGGCCCGCACCGTGGTAGAAAATTCGTTAATGTGGGATCGCTGTCCAAGAACATTGCACTGCCGCGAGATACGTAATACATGGGCTTCTATGAACGTTCTCCGGGGATCCGGAACTATTTCATTGCTGCGGGGATTTCGTACTTGCGGGGTTTCATTATTGCGGGATTCGACTGTATAATTGTGAACGTGGTTTTATCAGGCAGTCGGGCTACTTCGTCCGCACTGTCACCCAGGAATGCGCATTTTCGCTCTGTCGCTGCAGCCGACGACGACTCCGATAACTTACCTTCGGCTTTCGCTCGCTCCTCTTCCAAGTCGGCTTGTTGCCGATAGATAGTATCTAGAGGCACGCGACCGCTGCTCGAAGGGTCGGCGGCTGACAGACTTCGCACAGGCTCCGTGACAACTGATGTTGGTGCTAGGCCTTACGTGCTTGCATCGACGACATTGCCATGGGACTTTGAGAGCGTAGCGTCTCGGGGGTTTTGCGGTATCACGCAGCGCTTCTTGAAATTCGCCACTAACATCCGTTGCACCTTTTTTGCACTAAACTTGTGCCGCGTGCGGAATTTGCGCTCAGGATTTGACATCGAGAAAAGCGTCGTTGCTGACTCTGAGGTAAGATGGCACGCATGGACGCGCGCCTCAATAGGCGGAGCAGACGAATCCAGGAGCCTCCACCAATAAAGAGGCAAGCTCAAGTCACATGTGCGAAGTAGTGAATAGGAAGGCGCTCTTATACCTCTTTTCGCTGTGCATTTTCTAAGCTTCCAGTGGTTGAATTGGGGCCCGTTCTGGCGGGAATTTGAAGGCGAAAGACTGCACTTTCTCAAATGAGACCAAGCGGGCCACGCTGGCACGCATGGAGGGGCAACGGTGCGTCACGGAAAGTGTGAGATTTCAACGTCGATCTTGGCTCAGATTAGTTAGAAAGTGCTGTATAAAGAATCCTAGCAGCTGAAATATTGACATTATAGGCATTAAATTCACGGTATAAGTTAGAAGCTGTAGATTTCAAAAACGCAATTAAAAGAAATGAGTTTTTTCGGGATTTTTTCGGTCTCCACAAGCAGTGTCCCTTAAACAGGCTGACTCTTTTTTTTTTTTTTACATTCCCAAACAAGCTTTCCAATTCATACAGTGGACTGAGGCAATCGTGTTCTCCGAATATTAGACTGCTGCATGCCGTGCATGCCCTCCATTTTGAAAAGCAATTCTTGCACCTGACTAATTTCTCTCGTACGCGCAATGACGTGAACTTGCCCTTGACGTACCATTGAGTTCGTCGATTGGTGCTTTGTCCTAAAAAACGGCACCTTGGCACTGTAATAATCCAGGTTCGGTCATGCAGTCCACATTTTCATTTTTCTGTGCTGCCCTCTGCTGTTTTGTAGAGCCCAGGATGACTGGGAGAAGGTGTATTGCCAAAACGAAAGCCTCCAAAGTAAAGTGGCGTCTCGCTACTTTATCGCTAGAGGAAGGGTGCTCTTTGCACCGCACTTTTCGTTTCATGACACCGGCTCATGTGGGAGAAGCCCTGCTCGGTCGTTGGCTACCCACCGATGACAAATTGCTGACGTGTCATGTTGCCAAAGTGGGTAAAGTCGCACAAAGACGGGCTGTGTTTTCCCCTTTCTATGGTGATGTGCTTCTGTTACAATAGAATCTCAATGATACAATTAGTTTATGTGAATTTCACAATGATACGAATTTAAGGTTGGTTCAATTAGACTACATTATATAAAATACTCCATAATTCAGTGTTATACGAACGTTTGCCCCAGCCACCACAGATTATACGAGCGTGCGATCGACCGCTCGTATCATCTGCACGCAAGTGGCGCAATGCGGATCGTCTATGGGACCAAGCCCGTTCACACTCTGCCTCGAAGGGAGTGAATGCGGCAAAATTGACCAGAATTTTTCTTACTTTGCCACCTTAGTGGCTGGAATACCACGCCGCGAGGCCGATTCGACAAAATCAGTCAGAGACCAACTTTTCCGCCACGCAATGGCAGCTCGCCTTTTTGTTTCACAGCTTTGGCTACACCGGCTGCACTAGCTCTCAAACCACGTGATGTTAACGACCAGCTGAAAATTCAGCATGGCAGCAAAGGCGTTGATAGAGGCTCGCGTTGGCACGGTCGTGAACTACCCGTGCAGCACATCAAAACTCACGGCATCTGCAAGGATGCGTTCGAGAGCCTGGTTTGTATTTCAATTGCTGCGAACATCTGAAGTAGAAGAAGGTGCAGCAGCAGTGAGTTTACATGACCTAGCGTGTCTCACTTTTGCACTGCCGGCTGAATATGTTGCCACCGTTGCCGGTGCGTCCGCTCATGTTGTTTCTGCTAGCTGTTCCTCGAAACAATGTTTATAAAGGTGTAAACTGTTTCTTCTCAGTGCCTTGCATGCATAACTAGAACTTGGTACAAATTTCATATCATAAAATGGGCAAAATGGAATGAATTTTCAAGCGGTGAAGGCAGTGACAACGGCAGTGGCATGTACAAGGGGCAAAGCAAAAGTGAACATTTTCAACGGGTGTTCACGTAGTTTTCCAGCTGCTCTGGCATTTTCTTCTTAATTCTCCAGGGCTGATTTCTTTCATGTCAACTTCGCAGCGTGATTCTCTGGCCGCTGAAGCGGCGAAGCGAGTGAACTTCCAAGGAGTTTAGCCACTTCAGCTCTGTTTGATAAAAAGTGCGAACACGCCTTTAGTGCCAGCAGTATGAGTGAGAAAACCGTGGCACTTTATTGGGAGATGGTGAAGGCAGGAAAGTTCAAAAGAACGTAATGGACTTTTTTCAGCAAGAAGTAGTTGACCCCAATAAACTCCTTGTTCATTTTTATGATCAGCATTAGTTTGTTTTTTGTTCATACGAATTCAGGATTATACGAATATTTTGCATGCTCTCTTCGAATTCGTATAATCAAGATTCTGCTGTACTATGAAAGCTCGCGCTAAGGGAAAGTTATTTCGCATAATGAAGATAGCTGCATCACATTTTTTTGCAAGCTCAAGGGCTGTGACTGAGTACAACAAACAAACGGGGGTCTTCAGCAAGCGCTTTGCCAATGCTTTTACGCCATGCAGTGGTGCCCGATCCTCCGCCACCCAGCAAGCCATTGCCACCAATCCCCGTGGAGGAAGAACGCAAGCCGGCTACACCACCACGCAACCATCAGGCTGGAGGAGCCCGCGGAAGCTCCTCATCTCACCAGCAGCCCCTGCCGCCTCCACCAAACAGCAGAGGCCCCAACCGAAGGCCTGAGGTAAGCTACCTTTTCGTTGCATTGCTGTTGGAAATTGCTGCACAAATGGGAAGGAAAGACACTTGCACCAAACAGTGCAGACAGGAGAGAAAAATGTTTCTTTATTCGTTCTGTTCTTTAATAGCATGAAGCTGCTTCAACAATTGGCTGACATAATTTATTACTATAAATTAGGCTCGTATGAATATTCAAGCTATTCAAATTTAAATTATTGGGAATTTCGGAGTATTCAAATGAACGAACATATAACGAAATGAACGAACATATAACGGCCCCACTTAGAAGATGAACTTTCGCTTAAAACGAACAATATTCGTGTGACCATGAAAATATACATTGTTTCAGTGACACAAAATCGCACTTACGATAGTCTCCGAGCGCCGCTGATCGGTTTCCGCAAACGGCGTCGGTGCTCAGCTGACTTTCCGGGAAACCACTTTCGACCACTGATCAGGCCTTGGCGAGGTGCCCATAGATTCTTATTGTTAAACGCCGATCCTGCCTCCGCGCCCCTCTAGTTGCCGCTCTCCCCGACCGCTTCTTGTTACGCACCCTCCGTCCTTTGTCCCCTCGCTACTCTGAGCATCCCGCATCGCCAGATGCGGCCTGTGTTTTCACACTGCCCCTGATCCATCGAAGACCGGTCAGGCATTCCTCCTGTTTTTAATTGCTGGTACTGTTGTTGGAGTCACCGGCCTGGAGTGACCTGACCATTTGTTTACATCGTCTGTATCCGATCATCTGCGTCTTGTCTTATCATATCGTTCTAGTGAACGTGCATGCGCTACCCCACCCACTAGGATAATTCGCGATTCGTTTCGTGTTTAGGACGTATTATCGCTCACTTTGCACTCGGCTCAACATGCCCTCTGCACACGTGCGGAAGCGTAAAAATGGCTGTTGATTTGCGTGGAACAAATCGCGAGATATCGAAGTCGGTGAGGCCACGCAAACATGCTGGCGCTACAAAACGATTCCTTGACCACGGCCGTTGATTCGTTGAACACCGCCGCATGCGCCGATCCAAGCAGACGTGCTTAGACCTCTGTGCGCACAGGCACTCTTTCAAAATTTTCGGTGCGCGAGTTTGATGTTTCGCGGACCTTTCAAGCAAGCTACCCGACCTGCCTCCTTCCCGCGTGTTTTGGTTCTCAAGGTCGCTTTCTTGCGACCTTGAAAACCAAAACACGCCGTTTCCTGCTGTGCTCCCCCCTCTCGTCACTCAATCGCAACTCCTTGCCCTTCTCTCGCAAATCTGCTCTCCTCTCTTGATCACAACACCTTCACCCGTCTCCACAGCTCCGCGACGCCAGCCAAGGTGGCTTAAATTCAAAAGTTTTGTTTTCTGGCTAGAAAAGGGCCCAGAGCTGTACCACCCGTTCTGGCATGTCGCGTGCGCACGTCTTGCTCACTCTCGGTGTGCGTGTGTGGTCACGACGGTGGATGGGAGGCCTTGTGCACTTTTTCCTGCCGCTCAACAAAACACCCAAAGTGACCGCTTGCTCATAGCTGTTGACCACTTGGCAGCCAACTTGCCGCTTTGGGCGTCCCGGTATTCAGCTGTGGAGATGGTGAATATTTCGTTGGTGGCGGTGACAGCTACATGCACGCGAAACTGTTTTCGCGAGGCCGACTTCGTCGACGTCGAGCCCAATGCCAAGCCTGAAGCTTCTGAACAGGACCACTGCGACGGTGATTTGTGGTAGCACGTTGTCGACTCCGACATGGGAGAGCGGGTGGGACATCTGTCGCGATAGTTTTATTACGGCCGATGATGATGCCGACACCGCGGAACCCTGCACAGATTAGGTAATTGTGAATGAAGTACGCGGCAAGACTGTTTTTGGAGGAATCAGATTGCGAGAAAGATAAAACTTTGGAGCCAGTGCCTTATGCAGCTTATGCCATGGGCCTTGGCGAAGAGCACGCTGCTGTTCGAAACTCGAGACCACCCTTATCGATTCTACTCTTCGAAACACGTGCATCACAGACATTTTCGGGCAAAAAAAATTTGTGTTTTCACTCGCAACTCTTTAAAAGCTGTGTTTCATTTAGGCACGAACTTCGAGATACGGCGGACGGATGCCGTGACGGGCTCAGGTTCGTTATAAGCGGGCTTGACTTGTATTAAGGGGAGACGCTCCTCGAAAAAGTTTTTTTTTTTATTTCTAGTAATAGAGACTTGAAAAGTTTGTTATTAGTATAGTTTTTCATGCAGATTTCAAATATGCAATCATTTTTTGTGTAGCTGCTATAATTATTGTGTTATGCCATAAACAATAGCAAAAAGTTACATCTTTTGCGGGCACTCTTTTATGTACTAAACTTTCAGTAAAAGCACTGTGTCTGATCTTATTTGACTCTTGGTAGATTGAAAAGTGCAAATATCTATATAGACATGTCACAGAAATATTGGAACCAAGAAAAAAAAAAATTGTATTGAATGACTTATTATTTTCAATCTCCCTTGAAACAATAAGCTAATATTTTCACAACTAATGCTGGTAGGCATTGCAATTTAGAGTAGATATTTGCATTCTGCATGTGTTGAAGAATATGTGTGCCAAGTTTCGTTACTATACAATGAATATAAGTTTCTAAAAGGCTGCCCGGAAAACGTGAAACTGTCAGAAAAAATGAAAATGAGAAAAACAAGTTTGAAAGTTCGCCAAGTTGGCATTTATTAGGAAATCATTCTTTTTGCATCAAATTGGGGCACAATGAAAAGTACCTTGCCTTGAATGCACTGCAAGTGTCTAGAAGTCCCCTGCACCATAGCTTGGTCCTTCACGGCTCTTGCGGTCAGTGTCCTCAACACGAGCTCTCTTCGCTGTGTTGCGACGGTGTGCCCTCGCTTCTGCAGTTTGCTTCAGGTTCATCTTCCTGATGCGCATGACGTCACAGTGGTCACCATGTGTGGCCAGATCTTGTGAGGGGAGAATTCCAATGCCTTCGAGCACTTCTTCAAAGCCCCTGTGGCCTTTGTTGTACCAGAGTACAGCAAGAGCGGTGGCTGTCTCCACAGTTGTTCTGGAGGCGAACTTTGTTTTTGGACATAGCAGCCATATCTTGCTGTTCAGCGATTCGGCTGCATTCTGTGTCTTGCCATGAAGGCACCGAATAAGGAGTTTCTCCTCTGTAAGGCGCTTGTAGATAGGCATAATTGCCAATCCTTGAGCCTTCGTCAACAGTGGGGTGTGGCGTGGTGCAGGCTCCCCCAGTGCTTCCGCACGCTTGTGCTTGCACCACGAATTTGGTCCTGCGGGGCAAAAGTTGTGGCTACTGGCACCATCACTGGAGCAGCAATGAAAATACGATGCCCATATGGCAGTGTACATATTTCGGACACTGTCCTTGTTGCTCGTGATGGCGATCTTGTAATATGTTTGTAGTTTTATTATTGGTGCATCTTTCAGTTTTTCGCCTCGTGGCAGTGGCGTTGCCAATTTCCGTAGGGCAGTTCCCAAGAGCTTTGCAACGTGGTTCGTGCACTCTTCTTTGTCAATGGGGGTGTCACAGAATACATTTGCCTCGCAGACTGCAGTGTAGGCCTTGCTGTCACCATCACTTAGGAAGCTGGTGAATCGCAGTGGAGTTTCATAAGACAAGGTCCTTTGCCATATATTGACAGCTGCCGCAGGTTCCATTGCATGGGATGAGCAGTCGGTGTTTTTTTGGCAAACTGGAAGATGAAAAGCTCGCCATATCTCTTCATCCTCCCCAAGGTCCCTGTGTATACTGCAAGCATGGCAGTAGTTCGAAAGAACTTCAAAATCGAGGCAGAGCCCCGTGTCCAGGGACACGACTGTGCCCACTCCATTGTGGCTTTTACGACCTCTTTTCTGCCAGGTGCCATCAAACATGACTGGCACATCTCTGCCGCCGACTGCGTCCTTCGTGATGTTTCGTGCCTGGTGCAAGTTTTTGCTCACTGCCGTCATCGCCGCACCATGGAGCTTCTTGCAAATGCCGTTGAATGTCTTGTGATGCATCGGGCTCGGAAGACCGAGAATCGCACAAAATCGTGAAAGTTGGTCGTGGCCTGCGCCTATAGCGCGTGCTGCCAGAACTGCCTTCACGTTTACAGCAAAGCTGTCACGCGAGCTGCCGCTGTCAAAACGAGCGCTCGTTCCTTGGTCCCCGGCCGAAGCAGTACGTCTCGACGTGTGCGTGAACGAAAGTGCAGATTCAGGGCAATCAGAATTTTGACAGCACAGTTCGAGGAATGCCGAAAGTCCTTTGCGCTTTCCAGCTGCCTCTCGCACGCAGAGCTTCCGTTCGCGGCAGGTTGGGCATTGCGCACCCGCCACAAGTGCCGTCAGCGCATCGATTTTGCAAAGCAGCATGTTCGCAGTAGCAGCATTTACCGGTCTACGTTCACTCTCGAAGAATCCAATCTTCCTTTGGGATGCACTGACGAATTCCACGGCAGCGGCTATTTCACAAACACTGTCGCAGGGTTCGGGGACGGTGTTAGGCCTATCCGAAGTCGGAACGTTGGGGCGTTGGTCGGGGGCGACATCGTCGTTCGCTGTCGCTTTGCGAAGCGTCCGACGCCGTTTCCCTCGATACTTCTGGCGAGTTCTGAACTTTCGATTATTTGAACTGCACTTCTTCGGGCTTGCCATGACGCAAAAATGCAGAGAAACGCAGAAAAACTCGATCGCGACGTCCGAGGCTTCGCTCTTTTGCCGGAGAGATAGGAGGGGGAGGAGCGTGGAGCGCACCGCCGTCCAATGGCGGCCTCGCGCTGTGTGCCGCGATATTCAAAACGCGTGACGTACGCGTTGTTTTTCTCGTTTTTTGTTTATTCTGCGTGAAGGCACGAGACTGGCTACTAGTGGATTATGAAGGATACGGCCTTCACAGCATGCGTGCACGATTGCAAATGGCGGCCAACGCGTCATTTTCGCGACAGGACGACGTGAACTTCGCCGTTTTTCGCGACTTTCGCGCATTTCTCGCGTCACCGCTGCCCACTTGGAAGCATTTTTTGATAATTTCTCGTGCGAATTTCAGCTTGATATTTTCAGAAGTAATAGATTATAGTCCAAGGATGCCAATACAGCCGGAAAAAAAAAAGCGAAAATTTTCCGGAAAACCGCGACTTTTCGACCCGCGTCTCCCCTTAAATTCATTTAACATTCAAATATTTAAATGTTAGCAAGCATGCAAAACATGTTTCGGTTCTCGGACACTCGAAGCTGCAGGCTCCACACGTTTTGCACACATGTGCTCCTTGAAAAAGGTTGTTTTAGTTATAGTGCGGTACCGCTTATAGTGCAAATATTCAGGACTCCCGTGACTTACATTATAAGCGGTCTATACTCTACTATTAAAAGTGTTTACCACTTCCCTTGTACCAAATAAGACGTAAGCACATGCCATGTTTCAGTTTTAGTTGCACAGCTTAGTTGTGTCATTACAAATATGCTTTTCTTCTTCTTTTTTCTTTGTGTGATGCATACTATTCTAATTCGATTCAAAATAATTTGGCCAAATCACTATTCGCTTCAATCCTAAAATTTACTATTTACACAAGCCTACTATAAATGTTTTCAAGGCTGCAAGCTCGTAATAATATCACGTGCTACGTGAGGTCAAACAGACAGAAAACGAGTGTACCACACTTGCTCTCATTGCTACAGGCAGCGCTGACTAAAGCTCTCTTGTTTAATTTGCATATATGCCCATTAAAGTGGATGGGACGGATAGCTGCCATGGTAAGCAACGGACGAGTTATTTGAAGGTCACAGGTTTGGTCTCTGCTTACGGCAAGTTACTTTCCATTCACTTTTCTTTGCACACAACCAGCACACCTAGCAGACAACCATACAAGTGGCAGCATCATGTACTAAATGGACGCCTACCTGCCTTGGAAACATCATGCGATCAACCTTTAATTTTTTTTTCGTCATTTCTGAACCATTGCAGGGTAGTAAACCAAACCTTATTCTCCTTCCTTTTTTGACAGCCACTTCATTGTTTTCTTGCAGGAGCTGGAAGTGTTAGCGCAGCAGCTGAATGAGCTTGCCCTGAGTGGTGCTGGGGGACGGGGCTCAAACGGAGCGCGCCTGGCACCATCGCAGAGGCTCAATGGCGCCCAGCCCAGGCCACCTGCTTCCTCCGAGATGGTGGGCTCAGACTCTGACGAAGACGATGGCCTCATCCAGAATGATGGCACTCTGCTGGCATCGGACCCACCGAGGCCCTTGTAAGTGATCCAGTTTTCGCTTCATCTTCTTGGTTGTAATTCACCTTTATATTGCAGAATTTTACCATAAGGGCCTCTACCTTAAGGGGGGACGCGGGGATCAGATCACGAAAATCGCGAAAAAAAAATATATTTTTGGGAATCACTCATTTCGGCCTCTGCAGTGCCTATTCTATGCCGTACCAAACCGATTTGGCTGAAAACCAACCCCAAATGCCCGAAAAGAAATCAGTTTTTTAGCGCGATCGGCGAGAAAGAGGCTCAAAATCGCACAAAAACACCTATGTTCATAAAGCAAGTGTTCATCTCTCGCACCACCGATCGCCGCCATATTGGTATCCTTCGAAACGTCGATGCTTTGCCTTCCTGCTTTGACACATTCCAAATGTCACTGGCAAAGAAGAAACGCGCAAAAACCAAAAAAAATGCACGCTCAAAAAACATAGAAAAAAAAACAAAAAAAATCATCGAAAACCATGTTTCGTGCACGTTTTTTTACACTTGTTGCACGCACCCATTATGGAATCTCGCTCGTTCAAAAAGAAGTTTGACGACTCACGTATTTGGAAAACGAAAACGCAAGCCTCCTACACTGAAAAAAAGTCGGCGGTTAGCGGGAGCAGCGGAATATCTAACGTCTGTTCTGGAATCAACGGAACATGGGAATGACATGCCAAGTTGCCTTGCACCGCGTCACCCCCAAGAACCCAGCAGTAAATCTAACAGTCTTACTGTGACAACATCAATAACGGCGTCGTCTGGTGATCATCACGGAACACTGTCAACGAAGGACGCATCCAATGCTTCCCCGAGTACAACGACCCTTGACTCTCGACGCACAGGTGCTCGCTCTCGTAGCCGACATGAAATCGCCAACTACCGTTCAAACGAAATGTCGCCGTCAAAGTCTGCAAAAGCGTGCCCATCATCTACGAGCGATTTTCGTTCGTGGACAAGCTTCTACGTGAACAATGGTTCACTGTGTACGATCGCTTCAAGTTGCTCAACGCCGTCGACCGCGCGCCGAAATAAATCGCTGACAGCCGTTGGGATCAAAGTTCGCCGTCGCCGGCAAAGCCTGCGGAAGCGCACCTTTTATCAGGGAGCGTTCTCCTCGCGTCGACGAGCTTCAACAGAAACTTTGATTCACCATGTGCCAGTGATTCGAAAAGTTACGCAACGTCGTCAACTGATCATTGCACCATTCAGGCGCACTTGGAGACCCGCTAAGTATCAGCGGGAGCGGTGGAGGCGCAAGCATCGAGCGTTCGCGACTCTCTTCGCGCGGTGTCCGCTACTCAGAGGAAGCTGTCTCTGGTGGGCCAGCAAGGTGAAGAAGAATTTTCGGGGACACCTGGAGATGAATATACTTATGCAAGCTGCTGCTATCAACGCAATGCTGGCTGACACTCTCTGCCCAAAATGCCAAAAACATTCTGTGGGCATGAATTTTGTTACAAGGCTGGGTCTGGCAGCGAAAATGGCACTTTCATGCAGTACTTGTGGCAGCATATCCTCCCACTGGTCTTCCCAAAAGATGGATGACTCCAGAGCGTTTGATGTGAACATTAGCTCAATGCAAGCAATACAAACCATTGGCAAGGGACAAACGGCTCTGAATGACTTGTGGGCCACCATGAACATTTATCACCGTGGCTTACATCGTAAAACCTACCAAGGTCATTTGAAAAGGTTATTCAAGCCTGCAGCTGAGGTGGCTTCAGACAACGTATTTGTAAGTGCTGTTTGTGCTGTCAAGAGAGTGTACACAGAGATGGACGTTGGTTTTTCAAAAAATATCACTGTTGTTTACGACGGCACCTGGATGGATGACACGTGGTCATCGATCACATATCGGAGTTGGCTGCATAACAAAGTTTCATACAGGGCTTGTGCTCGACAGAGTTGTTTTATCTAATTTCTGCCTATGATGCAATCTAGGACCAGCAGAGGACGACCCTGTGTATCCCCAGTGGAGGCAGCACCATTAGTGCCAAAAAAAAAAACAGATGTTAGATGGATCTGGTAGGATGGAGGTGGAGGCCACACTGCAGCTTGTTGGCTGCTCATTGGCCAAGAATGGTCTAAGGTACTGCAGTGTGGTCTGTGATGGAGACAGCATAGTTTTTCAGGCATTGAGTGAGGAGCAGCCCCATGGATTTATACAAGTAACGAAGGAGGACTGTATAAATCATGTGAAGAAGAGAATGGGCACAGCTCTCCACACTCTTGTCAGCAAGGCAAGAAAAGGGGAGCCACTAGGTGGAAAAGGAGACCTCGCACAAGACCTCATCAAGAGGCTTGCCAATTATTATGGAATAGCCCTCCGCAACAACAGCAACGATGTGGCGGCAATGCACAATGCCGTGATGGCGACGTACCACCACGCCACGTCCACATGAGAGTCCTCACCATGAGCTATGCCCCCTTGGTCCTATGAGCTGGTGTACATACCGAGTTGCAGAGGCACAAGGACATGCACAACCAGCCCACAAGTACAAGCTTTCCAGCAGAGTTGATAAAGCACTGTTGCCAGCTGCGTGCCTTGCAGACACACAGCTGCTTGAGCTGTGTAAAGGAGGGAAGACACAGAATGCAGCTGAGAGCTTGCATTCTGTGCTTTGGTCTCTACTATCCAAAGACCAACATGCCTCCCTTTTTGCTGTAGATACAGCGATAAATGAGGCAATAATGAAATATAATTCAAGATGCACGCGTATGTACTCGGAAACGTGTGTTACATTGGGTGTGCATCCTGGTTCCATAACCCTCCAGAAAGGGCTCAAGAAAAAGACTGCCTGAGTCTCAAAAAAAGCGTGTAAAAGTGAAGAAACCAAGGGACAGAGGTCCAAGAAAATGCCTCTTCGCAGTGATGCCAAAAGACTATAGCCCTGGGGCATTTTAATAAAGGTGCAACATTTGCAAAACTTTAAAAGCCTTTTTCTGTGATTTTTTTTTTTTTTTTCAACCACCTTGTTCGTGGAAAGCATTGCGCAACTATGGCCGGACCGATTTTCATTGTTTGTTTTATTGTAACTCATAAATTTTGCCATAACTGAAGGCAGTCTTCAAATATTAGTTTAGGCTTCTTTTTTTTTTCAATTTCACAATTACTGAAAGGCAGGGCTCTATGAAGCACATGCATATGCAAATAATGTTCAGCAGAATATTGTTAGGGCATTAAAAAAAAATCTGGCACTGTCTTCGGCTACAAGCAATATGTACACGTACATTAAAAGTTGTTCCAGCACTTAAGCAAGTTTTCTCGCTGTGCCAGACTCTCCACGTGTGAAAAACTTAAGAATTCTTTATAAAATGAGAGCTAGTAAAGCTATCTTCATGAAAATTCGCATTCATCTCTTTAATGTGATTTTTAATGTGTTCACCAAATTTTATGAACCTAGGCCAAGAAACAAAAACGTTACAATCCCCACATCCCCCCTTTAAGGCTATGTCGATGTTGGAGCTTTGCAGAGTGAGGCTGTGCTTTAACTGTTTGGGTATTGAGTTTGCACTGCCATTACAACTAAGAACAGAAGCTGCAATGAGCACTGAAATAAATGGAGATGAAGAAATTTCCTTTAATGCACCTTGCCTTTCAAATGCTAAGTGTGCGTTCAACTATTTGTTTGCAGTGATTTTGCTAAAGGATTAACTTATGGCTTACAGCCCTGGAAATACAGGTTAGGGTATAGACACTCCATTTAGTGGAGTTCTGTAGAATACAGTCAAATTTGTTATAGCGAACCTCAAATTAACGAGGTTAGTAGCAGTAAGGCACTCCTGTTCATTTTAGAAATCATACATTGAGCTTTTGCTCTGACATTAATTGTTATTTGCCTTTAGTGTCCCTTTAAGGGGAAATTCTAGTCGAAAAAGCGTGATTATTTGTGTTGTGTTTTGTGTTCCTCTAAACATTCTCTTTAATATATTGACCCGTGTCTACATGTGGACAAAAACGATGATGGGGGGATTTAGCGGACACCAGGTAGTGGGCCTCTGGCTTGACGCGAGAACGAAGAAGATCTTGTGGCTCAGCTGTTGAGAACACGCTGCTTTCGCTGCCTCAAGGCGTACTTGTGCTTTGTTCGCGTTGTACTGCGACACTGGTGGAGGTGCTGGCCCGCGACCCCGCCTGATGCTCCACACTCCCACGGGGAGCCGTTCATCCAGCCCAGAAGCACTTGTCGACACTCCCGTGCATCGCTTCAGTCGTCGCTTGCGAGGCCTCCTTCCAGAGTTCATTCTCTCACAGGAACACTCTACAAAGCACCGCTCAGATCTATCAATGGCCACCGCCAATCCACAACAGTTACTACGAGACAGTAGTTTGCCAACCCCATCTCAGGTAACCTTTTTTTCACCGCTGGTGCCTGATCGCTTTGGTGGTGGAGCACATGAAGACGTCGAAGAGTGGCTTGATAACTATGAACGTGTCGCTAACACCAACCAGTGGTCCCTTGAACAAAGGCTTTCCCGCGCCTATTTTTATCTCGACGACAGCGCTAAAACTTGGTACGAGAACAGAGAAGGCAGTTTGTCATTATGGAGCGACTTTAAAAGAGGGATGATTGACACATTTGCCGATGTCGACCGGCGCGAACGTGCGCAGCATTTACTCGAGCTACGGGTTCAGAAACCCAATAAAACGGTCGCAATGTTCGCTGAGGACATAGCCCGTCTCTTCCGTAAAGCTGACCCGCACATGACCGACGACAAAAAGTTGCGCTACCTCATGCGCGCCGGTAAAGAGCAACTGTTCGCCGGACTTTTGCGGAACCCGCCAAGCACCGTGACAGACTTCATCAAAGAAGCTACGGCTATCGAACGGGCGCTTCACCTACGATGCCGACAATACGATCGCTTGTCCAACAGCGCCCACATGCAAGTCGCCGCTAGGGCATCTGACAATCAAAGCTCGTTGCGCGATTTGATAAGAGTCGCGAAGAGCTGCTGAAGTTCCGGAATCTGGTCTCGGAACCACCCACGGCGTCTGTCGC